GGTGGGGGGGTGGGCACGCTCACCTGCGATCTGCTCCTCAGTCAGCTGGTCAGCCTGGAAAAGCAGGAGGAGAAAGTCAGCCACCAGGCTGGGGGCCATGACGGCTCCCCCTCACTCAGCACCCCCCGCCCCCCTCCGAGAGGCCAGCTCTAGGTGGCATGGGAGCACTTGGGCACGGGAGGGGCACGTCAGAGTTAGGGGCTGAGGCAGAGCCAGGGCCTGGGGATTCAGGTGGGCAGGACACCCAGGCTGGCCCAACACAGGGCCCGATAAGACGCCAGATGCAAGGGTTTCGGATTTTGACCCAGTGGGCGGGAGAAGTGCCGCTCCTCACTGGCACAGCACAGGTCTGCTCTCAGGGTCAACGCCACCGCGGCTGGGAGCCCGGCTGAGTGAAGGGAGCAGTTGCCCTAGGCCAGTGGTCGGCAAACTCATTGGTCAACAGAGCCGAACATCAACAGGACAACCACTGAAATTTCTCTTGAGAGCCACATTTTTTAAACTTAAACTATATAGGTAGGCACATTGTTATTAACTTAATTAGGGTACTCCTAAGGCTTAGGAAGAGCCACACTCAAGGGGCCAAAGAGCCGCATGTGGCTCATGAGCCGCAGTTTGCCAACCAAGGCCCTAGAGGCTTAATCAACTAAAGGCTCCAAACAGGCCAGTCCCTGGCCAGGGCAGCGGGACGGTGTGGGGCTCTCGGCTAGTTTCTGTGTCAGCTACCGGAGGCGCTAAGTCAAGCACCAGACATTCTCCCAACCCGGGGCTCTGAGTTGCTCTGGGCGCCTGCAAGAACCCTGGTCAGGCTGGAGGCAGCTGCTCCGCTCCCTGGCACACAGGGATGGCACCGGGCATCACGCTGCCCTGCTCCTTTTGGGGAGGAGGGGCAGATGTCGGGAGGGGACTGCAGCAGCAGAGGCGGCAGAAGCTGCAGGACTCAGGTCAGCTTCCCCAGCTGCGCTGCAGTTTTTAACCCTTCCCAGGCCTGGCTGCTCTGGGAGGCGGCCAGTGGGTGGCAGGCAGCTCCTGCTGCCTGCGGGGCTGGGGGTGCGGAGAGGAGGCCGAGCTCTGCTGCGCTGGGAGCCAGCCAGGCACAGGAGCCTGGGGGAGGACTCAGGTGGGGGCTGCTCCCAGCATTTAGCTTGTTCAGGCAGCAAAGATACATTTTCCTGGGCTTCTGTGAATGGTGCCAAGAAGGCACCACCCTCCCCAGACCACTGGGGGTCCAGACCGACCGCTCCCCCGGGGCTTCCGTTCACAATCAGGAGAAAGTGGCTCCACGTCTACAGCAGGGCTCTCCCGAGGGCCCCCAAACCGCGGCAAACTAGTGCATTTGCATTAGGCTGCAGGGTACCAGACTTCCATGGAGGCTAGAAACTACCCCCACACCCCGACCCCATCCTAAACATTAAGAAACGGTCCCATTAAACTGGTCTAAATTTTCTTTTTTTTTTTAAATCTAAGGGAAGAGGATTTGGGGCCAAGCCCCAAATAGACAGAATAGGAGAGGAAATCAAAGAGATGTCGACAGAGGGAAGATGGCTCAGGGAGGGGGAAGAAGGAAAAGTACCACACATGCACATTCGAGAAAAATCCAGTCTAAGCGGAAGGTTCAGAGGCCAAACGGAGACACTTCTGCATCGCCTTAAAAAAGACTCTCGCCCCCGCTGGTTTGGTTTAGTGGAGAGAGCGTTGGCCTGCGGACCAGGTTCAATTCCGGTCAAGTGCATGTACCTCAGTTGCAGGTTCCTCCTCGCCCGGGCCCTGGTTGGGGTTCGTGCAGGAGGCAAGCAATCGATGTGTTTCTCTCACATCGATGTTTCTCTGTCCTTCCCTCTCTCTTCCACTCTCCCTAAAAATCACTGGGAAAATATCTTTGGGTGAGGATTAACCCGCCAAATACATATAAAAAACTTGGGCCCTGGCCAGTGTCGCTTAGTGGTTAGAACGTCAGCCCTTGGACCAAAGGGTCTCGGGTTCAGTTCCTGTCAAGGGCACATACCTGGGTTGTGGGTTCGTTCCCCACCCCCAGTTGGGGCACATGAGGGAGGCAACCAGTTGATGGAGCTCTCACATCTTCCCCGCCCCCCCCCTCCCGTTCACTCTCTCTGAAAGAGCAATGGAAAAAATACCCTCAGGTGAGGATTAACAAAAAAGACTCAGGCTGCTGGGTTCTTAACTGCCCCGGCCCACGGCCCCTGCTCTACCCTCTCCCCCTGGCTCCGAAGGGGAAAGAAGCCCGGCTGATCCCCCAGATCCTGCCACCTGAGGAAGCTGCTGGGGAAAGTGAGAAGGGAGGATGGGCTCTGGTTACCAAGGCCAGGCAATGCCGGGGGAGGGGGAGAGGAGACTGGAGAAGGGAACAGAGCGGCAGCCTGGGGAAGAGGCCGCCATGCCACCTGCTTCCATCCTCTCCCCTGGCCTGGATGGGAAAGCTAGCCCCTCGCACCACTCCCCACGCAGCAGGAAGCCAAATCCCCCCTCTCTGGGAAGTGCTGTCAGGGGCTGGGGCGCGGAGGCTGGGGCAGGTTATAGAAGCGAAGGCCGAGTCTGCCACTCCCCACCACAGAGGAGGCACTGCCACCCTGCTCCCCCGTTGCTGCAAATAGGCGTGGCTCTGCCTGGAGGCTGTCAGGCCGCTCCCTCCAGGCCAGGAGACCTCCCCCTGGGGGTGCAGGAGGGGTCCCAGCTCAGAGCGCCGGACCAGGAAGCCTGGCTGCTGCCCAGGAAACCGATCACCTGAGAAGTGACCCTTAGCCGGGGGACCGGTCTCGGGGCTGCTTTCCTTCCCAGAAGGGAAGATTTTAAGCTTTTACCAAAACTGCCTCCAAAATAACCCAGCTGGTCGCTGCTTCCTTATTCCTCATCTTGGGCTCCAGCAAGAGGCTGGACAAGAAGAAAACGGTGGGGCGGGGGAGGGAAGCGGGTATTGCATCGCTGCCTGGCCCAGCCCCCAGGCAGGGCCGGAGGGCAGCGTTAGATGAGATCAGAAACCCAGGCCAGGGCCCCTCACCCGGCCAAGGAGGAGCCACCGCTCGCAGGCCAAAGTCCGCCCCAGGCCAGCGAGGGACCGTCCCACCCAAACCTTGCTGATTACAAAGGGAAAGTCGGATGTATCAATTTCCATTGGGATGACAATTTGACAGATATCAGGATACTATACTGAATGTACATGTGGAGATTAACTGAAAAAAATGTCCCCAAGAATCTTCTCAATGACTCCTGGTTCCTCTGCCGAGACCTGATACAGGGCCTGGCCGGGGAGGAGGTCTGCCTGGGGCGAGGCTGAGCCCGGGGAGGCTGGGTGCTGGGGGCGGCGGGGAGCGGGAGGAACCAGCCCGCTGGCTCTCCGGGCCCAGCTGTGTGAATGGACGGCACCTGCCAGGGCTTCCGCGCCCCTTTGGCAGGTTCTGCTGGGAAAGTGGGGAGCAGCCACAGGAGCCGGCCAGGCTGTGTCAGCAACTGTGAGACCTGATACA